TTCAGCCAACGAGGTCGGCCCTCGGTACCTGATACTTCCCCCATCTACCAGAGGTATTGGAAACTACTTGGGTGGGAAACTTGCCTAATTTAGCTCAGAGGTCTCCTAGAGACGCGAGGATCTTTTACGTGCCGTAAATCTACGACACGGGATCCACGGCTTAAAGTCCCTCCCGGAGGACTTGTTCCCTGAATTTTTCCGCCCTTAAAAATTCCACGACCTCCGCCGGGTTTTAACCCGCGTACCTAGAGTCATGAGGTGGGGACGTTACCCCTAGACTACGGAGGCGTTCACTACAGTAGATATGTTATGTGTCGAAGAAAGACGCAGAATGCGGAGTATTCATTCGACAAAATGGCAGATATGTATTACCGTACGAAGAGCATAATAGTGCGGGCGTTCTAAGTCTGTATGTTGAAAGGTATGCGAAACGACGGCGTCCAATAAGCAAGACGTTCATTTCTCCGAAACGCCGCCTTCAAGAAACAGGCTGTATGAGACCCAAATATGACAAGCGCCTATGAGGAAGATGCGCGGTAAGCAAAACGATATCCTGGTACTATGTAGTACCAGACAGCTGGCCCGTCGTCACCACATGAGGACGTTGCATGACCAGCTCTTAGTATCCGTTTCACGCGCTGCATGTTCGAACTCTGGAACCGCCGCTGAATTGTATGTGTCGAAAAGCGTTCTGTGATTGGCTACTGAGACGGGTTCCTGTGCCTCCAACATTTCTCAGCCGAGTGTTGCTGATCGATGGAACATGCCTCACGCGGAAATTCCTTTCAAGAAACATGAATCCGGCAGCAGTATGCAACAGATGTTTAGGCGGAAATATATGGCGATTTGATCCAAGGTCCTTACGAAATATCGCCCGATTATCGGGGGGGGGGTCTCCTATTTACAGCTCCCATCTGGACAATTACTGCGACTACTTAACGGCATACCACTGACAACGTAAGTACGTTGTACTGTAATAATGCGGCTCTTGCCCATTCTTGCGATGCCACGTAGTACACGTATTTATACTGCCACTACCCAGGTCGATCATTAGGATGAAACTGACCAGCTGTATAGCCTCCACAATCATCAGAGCTCACCCCTGCCGACTGCTACCTGCGGGGGCCATCTGAAGAACATCATCCACACCCAGCAATGTAACACTCGGGAAGAGCTGTGAAATGCCACCCAAGCGGCCTAGACTACAATATGCAAGTAGTCAGTGCCTTTCAACGGATAAGGAATTCCTGGAGCAAAAAGGTTCAGTTATGCACAGACTAATGACGGACCGTTTCAACATCTTTGTAAACCCCTAGTAACTGGCGAGATGCCGTTCTGTTCATACTTTATGCAAAACTACGATTTCCATTTTTTCCCCGAGCTTCCTGTTGCCGTATCTCGCTAAGGAAGCGGTTGTGGCACTCAAAAGACACTACATACCTACTCTAACAAAAGATAACTTCATCATTCTTAGCTGTAATGTTCGTAAACTGGCACTGCAGACGGCCGTCTAGTATGGCAGCACATATCGAGTGCTGAAGGAGCGGGGAAATCAAGCATGTTGAACATTTCCGATGGTTTAGAGACGTAATTACTGTCAATAGAGATCATATTCTGAACGTCCTGGTTTCGGTTACCCGGTTACGCCAACAGCAGAAACAGCAACTAACCCTCATGAGACCAAGGATACACCGCTGCATGACCTTAAGGTTGGTGTGGTGGTCCATATCACGATATTCTTCGATGACACTGTCATCTCGGTACGTTATTGGGAAGCGATTCTTTACCCCTTCAACGGATAACCAAATGAGGATGAAAGTGCCCGCGGTTGCTACCAACAGGACGGTGCTGCTGCACACACAGCTCCTGTTTCCGTGACGCTACTGTGCGATGTGTTCGGGGACGGAATAATTTTAAAGTAAATTTTGTCACCACGGTCGCCCGATCTTACACCCCTAATTATCATCTGTGGGGAGCAATGAAAAGGGAAGTTTACAAAGGCAATCCTCACACTTTCCTTGAAGTGAAGGAAGTCGTCGCAAACTTCATCACGCACAGCCTTCCTTCCGACTGAATTATCGCGTGTCTTTGCAAAGAAGAGAGACATGTATGTACGTGTCTACAAGCACGTGGCGGACACATCAAACATCTGTCATATGAGATACGTTGGATTTTTTTTTTCAATTGACCTAATCCTTCCAGCGGCACTATGGCCCTGGGGTCGACTCAGACTCTAACAGAAATGAGTATCAGGAATTAATTAAATAATTTTCCTGGGGAGTAAAGCGTGGCCGGCGCGTAAGGCTGAAAATTTCACCGCCATCTTTGAGCCGAGTGTCTAGATAATGTGGGCCTCTCTACGTCTCACAACCCTATGGGCCTTCACGGCCTGTTACAGGGGTAGTTTAACTTTTATTTTTACTTTTACTTACAGGGAATCGTACTCATCGTCCACGGCATATGGACAGAGACCCTGGGCTCATCTTGTATTTATATGAACGTTTCTGCCTGTCTGTATGTGTAGACCACGATGCTTATGCTGAAGTAAAAATAAAGGTATCCTTCTAACAGGCCGTGGAGGCTCGTAGGGTTGAGAGATGTTGAGGTTCCCACATTTTATAGACAGTCGGCTTACAGATGGCGGTAAGCTTGTCGGCCTTACGCACCGGCCGCCCTTCACACCCAAGAATATATTCTGGTACTCATTTCTGTTAAGAGGCTGAGCCGACCCAAGGGCCATAGTGCCGCTGGAAAGATCATGTAAATTGAAAAAAATCCATCTCATTGGGATTCGATCCCGCCACATTCCGGCTTGTGGCACAGTGCCTCAACCAACTACGCTACCGTATGTTTAAAGTATGTAATTAAGACTCGACCTGTATGTTAATGACGTATGCTTCAAATATGCTCAGAAATGCATGCAGGTCTCCATGTAGTGAGTATATGCTGCATTTGTCCGATTTTCATTAGCACTGAGTATGTCGGTACATTTTACTAGAATTCTCCAGCATCAAGTCTGATGAAAATCCGTTGGCCAATTCTCCGAGTTATTTGTTAACTAACGCTTCGCAGGGTTTGAACAAGCCTAATACAGGCGAGGTCCGCAGTGCGGTCGGCGGACCGTGAACCCCTACAAGCAAAACAGACTCCGTGGTCTGTAGACCGCAAGGGAACTATACCGACCGAGCGACCGCCCTTGCCGGCGAAGTTAGTGCCAACTTTTGCGGATAGAGGGTGTCACGTGGTCAGCGCAACGAATCCCCACGGCCGTTAATCTCGGTTTTCTAGACCGTCGTGGACCACTAGACGAAGTAAATTCAATCTGTTATACCACCTGAGCCGTAGTGTCTACCTTACGTATTATTATCATGTAACAATATCCTGCCCTGGAAAATATACAGAATGTGTCTAAAAGAATGGTGGGATTTCACTGCCGTATATCACCGTCAGTTTTTGGCGATGAAAAGCAACACGTATACGGATTCATAACGTAGCCCTCAAATTTTCATTTTGTATATCGCGCTTTTTCCTAGTTCCACTTCCGACAGTTAGCCGGCGTGAAATGTAAAATGGCGACCGAAGAGGAGAAGGCCTATTGCGTGCTGCGATTTGAGCTGTTTAAATCCATCGTTACAGTGCGCCGTGAATTTCGTGTACGTTTTCAGAAGGATGCGACATATGAAAACAACATTCGTAGATGGTACCGGCAGTTTGTGGACAGTGGATGTGATTCTCCGAAAATTAACATCTTCTGTGCTGTCTCTCAACAAAAAGTGTACGGGCCCTTTTTCTTCGCTGAAGCAACAGTGACTGGTAACACCCACTAAGACATGCTGGAAAACAGGTTGCTTCCACAACTGGCCAATGATTCCAATGACTACATTTTTCAACAGGACGGTGCTTCCCCACATTTCCATCGCAATGTGAGAGGTTTGCTTAATCTGGTCCTTCCGCAACGATGGATTGGACGTGCTGCACGTGAAGATGTCCCCTTTCTCCGGTGGCCACCCAGTCCCCGGACATAACTCCATGTGATTTCTTCTTGTGGGGGTACGTGAAGGACACGGCTTATGTACCCCCATTGCCCCAACCGCTCCACGATCTCCGAAACAGAATCAATCGTGCTGTGGAGACCAAACACCTTAAATGCTGCAGCAGGTGTGAACTGAGTTCACTTGGTATATCGGCCACCAATTGGCCATTGTACATGCCCCGGATGATATATGATGATGAATGTGGAGCAGTCGGTGGAATGAGAATTGGCAGGGGAAACCAAAGTACTCGGAGAAAACCTGCCCCAGTGCCACTTTCTCCACCATAAATCCCAATGACCTGACCTGACCTGGGCTCGAACCCGGGCCGCTGCAGTGGATATTACGACGCATCTGTTGAAAGTCCACCAGTGGACTTCTAACAATACACCTCATATCGCTTAGTTTCTATCTATCTATCTATCTGTCTCTCTGTCTATCGCTCTACAGCCCTCGTAGACCCCGGCCGTTTTTTCAGATTCTTAATCTATACACAGACGGTAGGACTCCTTGGACGAGTGATCAGCTCGTCGCTAGACCGCTATCTACACATAGAATAGACGCATACAGACAACCATGCCTCGAGTGGGATTCGACCCCACGATCCCTGTGTTCGTGAGGGGGAAGACTGTTCATGCCTTAGACCTCGCGGCCACTGTGATCGGCTCTCGCTTAGTTATTCTAAGCAAACCCATAACCAGTGCGCCCTAATTTACTCTGAAACCTCGGCGAAACCGCAGTCATGAAGACGCCCACCTACTCGTAGAGTGGAGATACGGCTGCACTTCGCGTGTACTGGGGGCGCCTGCAGGGCGCAGGAGGAAAGCGTCACCATCTGGGTGCGGATTCAATGCACGTCACGTACGTTTAATGCTCAGTTGGATATGAAATACAATGTTACCTGTCTGGATAAGGTTTCAATCAGATCATGTAAATGGCATGCACTACGTATCTTAACCTCATACTCACTATTTTGCGCAGTCAATCAGCTGGTATTCATTTGACCTTTCAAAACAAGCTTGAACACCTCTATCTTTCCATAGGATTTCCGTGTGTTCGTAGAATTCCTGAAAGAAACAAAATAACACTTACTCACATAATCTCTAATTACTACGTGAAGTTTAGAAATGTGGGGCTATGATTTAATTCGGCGCACATGACGGTTATAAATGGAAACTTTCGAAAAGTGATGGAATGAAGTTAGCAGCAGTTGCTCTCAGTGGTCTAGAAGTTATCCTTACCTATCTCCTTCAACCAGGTTGGTTTCAGATTGACCTGTAAACCTTTAAAGTGCAGTGGTAACAGCATGAGATTATTTCCTAAAACACCTTCAACCGACTGGCCATGTAATGGAGACGCACTGGAAGTAGGACATTATTTTCCAAATATTATTGAGACAGACGTCAGGTTTCTAAGGGTCACATAACAAGGTTTCTCCAAACCTGGAGAGTACAATGCAGTAGAGTGTTACTGTTCATCCACTACAGATTAGCCATAGTGAATTCACAGAGATCGCAACGTCTACTGCGTACAGCACCCATTCGGACGTGTCTACGAAGCCACTGCAAGAGTAGATAGCAAAACTCAGTTATTCTGATGAGAGCGTGCGGTCCAGAAAATTATTCTTGAGACCAGTTTATGCAGGCAAACCACAAATCGTTCACAAGAGTGGTCTATAATATACGTAAAGAACAGCATCAGCGACATTGTATAATTATTTTAATGTTGAAAGGTCTTGGTAGGGGCGTGGCTGAGAGGACTTACACAAATAAAAGAAAAATATGGAATATCTATAAATATATTCATCATCAACATAAACACATCATACACGTACATACAAAAATCTTTAGCCCGACATATTTAAACCACTCAGGTCATCCTCAAGGGCGATTCAACGCAAATAAGCTACTACCGTTTACCTAGAAAGCTGAAACATGGCATACGTATGAGAAACAGTCAGAAAATAGAGTACAAATGAATATAAAACGTAAACCATCTGAGAAAACACTTATTTCTCGACATATCCTTCACCAACATTGATACAATTGCCCCATCGCTTTACCAGTGCGTCGAAACCCGCAGCACAGAAGTCTTCTGATTACTGTCTCAGCCATTTCCGCACCTGGCCGGGCACCATCTGCGACTTTCGAACGTCCTTGAGAGAATGTATCGACTCAGTGGTGAACTGATTTACGTGACAAACACTTCCAACCGTAAAAAGGAAACAAATCATTTATATCCTCTACATTGAGTCCTTTTGCCCACAAAAACGCACAAGAGAATGCTACTCTTCCGTAACCCACTCAAGCAGTCGCCATTTTGACTACTGAAATAAGCCTCTGGACATACGCATGCGCGTCTGCCACCTACACTGTCATGAAGCTGGACTACTCCGCTACCTAGTGATACATATAGAAAACCTATTACATCCATTACAACTGTTTTACTTCTATTTGCGACCCATTTACTGACTGTCCTCGTACTTTAGGAAACCCGAGGGCGCGCACATCGGGGGTTATTTTTCTAACTTTCACATCAATTTCACAGCAATATTTCTGTGCGAAAGGGAAATTAAATTCTGAGTAACATATTTCAAACACTCGCAACTGTAAATGTACGTATCTCAAGGACAACTAAAAACCAATAACGCGGCGCTACTGACATCCGCCAGCGAGCATCGGGTGACTAACTGACGGTTCTTCTACAGAACAGTGCTTCAAATTTGTGAAAATTCGCAAGAAATTTCTGAAATTGTGAAGGGCCGTCTTTCATAAATTTCTTGGCCAACACTTTGAATAAGATCACACACACTACGGATGGTCGACTACTTCGCTCTTCATCCTGAATATGTGTTCGCCCGTCTCTGAACATTCTGCACCATTGCCTTACAGTTCCTTCACTCGTTACATATGGCCGTAAACCGGCGCGCATAATGCACGATGGATTCCCGCAGCACTCATGTTTTTGCACGAAGAAAGCGGATTACAGCGAACTTCGTAGCTGGCGGGATTATCAATTGCAAGACACATCATAACTATGGACAGACAAGAACAAAAAACTCTGTGACCAGTTATATGATGGTTTACTAGGCAATGAATCATGTGACGCTAACTCGTATGCGCCAGCTCTCACCCGCTCCTACATTAGTGGCCTGAAATAAACGGAGGTTACTTTGCGAATGCATACATACGAGTATACAAGGTGTCCCAGGAGTTTGGTGCCATACATACTTCAAGAGCGTACTGAGAGTTCCTTATAGAACAACTTCGAAATAAGAACCCATGTCCGCAAACGCAAAATAGCAGCGCTAGGGCGGCATTTATTATCATTTTGTTTAAACTTGGCGCCTCAATGTCGAAGAGCATGCACAGGCATATTACCCCTCCAAACTCTTAAGACTCACCTGCTAGAGTAGATGTTGGTATTGGCGCCCTCCGCTTTCAATGCATGCGTTACATCGACGAAATAAACTTTGGTGCACCCTTTCAAATATTCCAGGTGTCTCACGGATCACGTCACATGCAATAAGTATTCTGGCCAACAACTCGAATTCATTATCCAAGGCTTAGTTGTCAAGTCTGGGGATCGGGGTGGCCAAGGCACTGGGCCTCCTCTTCCTATCCAAAGACCGTGAAAAGCAGCATCCAGTAGCAGTCTCGTGATACAATGCTGAAGTGTGCCGGCGCTCCGTCATGCTGTATCCACATGTGCCTCCGCAAAATCAGTGGCATATCTTCTAGCAAAGTCGGAAGGATACGTTCCAGGAACGCCTTGTAAATGGGCCCATTGAGCCGCGGTGGTAGCCCAATCAAGTGATCGCCAATGATGCCCGCCCAGACATTGACAGAAAATTGCGCCTGGTGGTAACCAACTACAGTAACGTTGGGGTTTTCGTCACCCCAAAAGTGTCTGTTTCGACAATTTAATCAGCCATCCCCTGTAAACTGCGCTTCGTCTGTGAAGAACACGTGATTCAGGAAGTTGGGCTGATGTAAACACTGGTTCAGTATCCACTGACAAAATTGAACTCGTGGTACGAAGTCACCTGGACCTACGTCGTGTACTCGCGTTGCATGATACGGATAAAGCTGTTGGTCGTGCAGGATCCTCCAAACACTTGATTTTGATGTCCCCATAATCTTGGCAATGGCACGAGTGCTGGTGGATGGCTGTTCCTCTATGCAATGCAGTTCGACACTGAGGCGCCAAGTTTAAACGAAATGATATTATTAAATGCCGCCCTAGCGCTGCTCTTTTACGTTTGCGACCATGGGTTCCTATTTCAAAGTTATTCTATAGGGAACCTTCAGTACGCTCCTAAAGTATGACACCAAACTCCTGGAACACCCTGTGGTGGCGTAGTTGGTTGAGGCACTATGCTACAAGCCCAATGGCCCCTGGATATTTTAATTGACTTAATCCTTCCAGCCGCACTATGGCCCTGGGGTCGACTTAGCCTCTAACAGAAATGTGTACCAGGAATCTTCCTTGGGGTAAAGGGCGGCCGGCGCGTAAGACGGACCTCAATGCCATCTGTGAGCTGACTGTCTAGAAAATGTGGGAACCTCGACGTCTCACAACTCTATGGGCATCTCACGACCTGTTACAAGGATAGCTTTACATATAAACAAAGATAGAGTTTGCAGAAACACGTTTTCCTCTACTCTCACGCTCGGTTTTGGTCACAGGGTCGAACCACAATATACACCGGCAAATGTTCGACTACTGACTAGTTTGTCCGTACCCTTCACTCTTTGTCGGCGTAAGCGTCGGCCAAAAACTGCAGCGTATGTATTGGCAAGTACCCGTATATCGTTCCCTTGCCTAACGTTGTCCCATCTGGTGCCGGCGCTATCGAGTGCAGCACTGGCGGAAAATGCGTCTCCCGTCAAAAGTATCAATCATGAGTCCAATTCTACATCCAACTTTATATTCAATAGGGACACCACCAAAGCACGCATTCTTTAAATTTTATGAGCCTCCACGTACGGTGTACCGTCTGTACTTTTCTTGGTTTTCGCTGTTTCTCTTCTTCTCTTAACTGTTATATACTGACGCGCAACCATGTTGGAAATTTACGTCACTAAGCTCTCAGCATCGTCCAAGGGACGGTATTCGGCTAGGCAGGGAGTTCACGTCTCTCGTTTTGTTTGGTCCCAGACGGGGCCAGTAACGGCCAAGAAATGAAAATCTTGGGATCATAAACACATGATAGCTATTGTTAATGCTGTGAGGATACAAAATTGAAGACAGCCACTGAGTCATTTATTGTTCCAAAATCTACGCTAAAATATTATGTTAAGGAAGGTGGATATAATGTGAACAAACTGTGCCGAGAAATCTGGAAGTCTCCTCCTGAAATGGCGAATGAACATACTGCCAAGTGTAAGGGTGACTTACAAGATAGGGGTTGAATTGTATGATTGGATTTATTAACAGCTCGGGACTACAGGCAATACAACGCTATCGCTGATTTACACATTTTACAGTTCACCGTTGCATACGCACTAGGGTTCTCAGTCTTCACTAGTCGTCTCCAGGCAAGGGATTTATAACCGTCTCACTGTAACTTCAAATCACACATGACGTGCTCTTTGCACAGTCTAATTCGATTCTTGACATAATTCTGAAAATGCCAACTCAATTCAATTCCAAACTCATATCCCGGTAGGCTGGCGTCTCGAACTCGACTATCCACTATATCCTGCTCAACTGAATTCTTTATAACCATTCTGCATGAACTCCATTGAAAAACCGTCTTCTATTGTTCCGTATTGTTTTAGGCGTGTTTCCCGCACCACTGCATAGCAACGGTCGCGGAACGGGACACATAGAAAACAAACTTTCTATCGTTGAAGCGTGTTTACCGCAGTTAAGTGCTTACCGAGTCGTTGCCTAGAAATGGGTACACATGTCAAATATAAAACTATGCTTAAATATGGAAATAAACTATTTCGGTTTGACGACAAAGGTTATTATGTGCACGGCATTCTCCACGGCCATCCATACTTCTTCGGAAACAGTAGAATGTGCTGGAAACAAATGTCTCAGCCATGCGCAAACCTCA